TAAGACGCTGAGCTTGTCAATCAGAAGATTGGCAGTTTGGCGGTTCGAATCCCTAGTGCCACGTAATGGGGTGAGCTCCCATTACTTGTTCCACCTTCTGCCAACCTAGCATTTTAAAAGCAAGTAAAAAATGCAAGTAGAAACATAGGGACCACCTTTGGTGGGAAGGTAACAGCATTCCATGCACCTTTGGCATTTAGCTATGCCAGCCACATGACCACGGAGATGTCTTCGGACAGCGCTGGCTCTTCAGCTTTGAAACAGAGATGAGCACCGCCTCCTAGATTCGGGAACAACTAGCACATATGTGTGAGAGGAACCTTTACCTTTTCCTTTTATGCTATAAATGGATTCAGGTGCACATTAGGTTGAGGAGATTCAAAGAAGGGACTCTCAGCCTTAGTAATTGTTCTCAAATAGACAACTTGGCTTTCCCTAGCTTAACAGTGTAAACTACATCTGCTCCTCCCAATTCATCTTACAAACGTGTACATCTGGAAGATCCCAGGGTTAACTTCTGAAACAGCGTAAGTTGAAACCATGGTTACCTGTGTTCCATTTCTTATTTGCCACATATGAGGAGAGGAAAGTGGGCCAGCAAGGAGAGGGATGAGGGATGAAACACGGTGGGATTTGAGGAGTAGGGTGTATTTCCTAACTATCTGATAGTAATAGCAACCAGATGCAGCATGGATAGCAAGAGCTGATGAGACCGAAGGAGACATTACTACTGATTAACCTACATGACCAAGAACACCTGGAGGAGACAGGGAGTTGCAAGACCTCTTATGTCACTGAAAGGTGGAAATTCTGTAGAGCTAGCTTCACTTCATTAAGTGCCAAGGCTATGTACTCAAAAAAAGGTCTTTTGAATCTACCTGGTGTGTAAGAGTTCTGATTGAATTGGGTGTATTGCTCGGAACAGTGACACTTAGGTTCAGAAATCCTAATCTAAATGCTTCTATTAAAATAGCATGTATATTTATTTCTAAAATACATTTGTCTAATTTTTGTATCAGTTTTTTTTGAATGGATGGATTGATAAGATATATATTATATAATAAAAAATAAATGTCATATGGATGCCTATCCTCTATCATTCAGCAGCCTTATTTCCCAACCAATTACCAATGTGATAGGTCATTCCATTACTTGCTGGAAGAGAAATGTTTGCCCACCAAGTATCAGAAGGAACAGGGACTCAAGAACAGATGCTCTTGAGTGGATTGGAAATCTGATTGCCTCATGCTTTTCTAGGACATTGTATTGAACATTTTGTTACAATAAATAGATGAGCTCTTCTTGGATAGGGGCCAGTTTGCACAAGTTGTTTACATGAAAACTGATCCTATTACAAAGCAAAAAAACCTTACCTTAACAAGCAGGTACAATACCAAAATAATAATAATACAATGGTATGCTCCAAAGTTACCACAAGAAGATGTTATTTGCCACACCCTTATTATTCCAGTTCAGGGTGTACACACCTCTGCCAATCCAAACAATCCACTCTTGAAACTTCTAATCAAAGAGATTAGAAATTAAGAAGTTTCTTCCTTTGAAATAATGATTTTCAGGGAAGCCATATTGAATGAGTTATTATTTGCAAGGATAATTCTTCTTTCATCCTAGGAAGATATTATCTTGTTTTCCATGGAAATTAAATTGGTATAGAGTACTCCTAAATTTAATATGAAGCATATTCTTCTAGGATAGATGGGTAATAACGGCTTCTCTCCATCTGTAGAAAAGTCCCCAACCACCCCAGGAAATGTAAGGACAAGTCAAGTTCATCTCGCCTTGTGTCAGACATGCTGGAACTAGAAATGGAGAAATTATTAATTTAAATTTAAATTTAAATACAACATAAATTTATATAGTCCTAGCCCAATGCTCGGCCACATTGATGGCAAGAATATTTCAAACCAGCAAGTCATTCTATATGCATGTCAGTCCAGAGGGCACTGTAAAAGATGGATAGTTGTTTGAATAGCACATATCCTTGTCCTCTGTAGTCTTTAGTCCTAGACAAAATAGTGTGTAGTCTGTTTAAACATCTCCAAATTGTCCATTCCTTCTCTGAACCTCAGGCAACTCCTCAATCAGTTCTATCCAATTATGAAGATGTTTTAACTAGAAGTTTATATCTTTTAAATTGTTCTTTTTGAGGTGTAGTAACAATCTCCTTGGCACAATCTAAAAAGCTCTTTCTTGATTTCAATTTTTTTGTGGGGGGTACTTAGCCAATAAGTGGTTTGCTGGATCATGTAATACCTTCCCATATTCCATAAGCCAGTTTGTTGGAGAATAATGCCTGGAAGGGCTATTTCGCCAAGATATCTAGCCATCTGGGGAGGAGCGCAAGCATCCATTAATGATGCAGCATGTATCATTAAACCTCCTATCCACCTGTGTAAGGTGTGCAAACCGGTCCCAAACAAGGCAGGCGTACTCTCCCACCAAGTCACATAATACAAGGGTGGCCATTCGAAGAGTAATGGTGTGGTCACCCCAAATAGGTCCAGCCAGCTTTCTGAGGAGATTATTACAGGTAGATATCTTTTGCATTAAATTGCAATGATGTCTTTTAAAGGTTAATGTTTGGTCCAGTGTAACACCAAGGTAATGTGGATTTTCACAATGCGACACTTCATTCCAGATAATATTGAGCCTACATCTGGCCTGCCTGTTTTGTGGGATGGAATGCACTGACATTTTTTTGGGATAGTCAGGTTTTAGCCCATTCACATTATAGTATTCTGACATATTCTTAAGAACCAGAAGTTAGTTCCCTGAGTGGTAAGTGACAAATCATCAGCATAGATAAAAGATAATGTATTAAGACCAATGGATTGATTATTGGTGTATATACTGAATAATAGCAGGGCAGGAACATTCCCCTGGTGAAGACCATATTGCTGGGCTTCCACCAGCTCTTTTTCCCCTGGAAAGCAATGAAAATTCATCAATACAAATAGTCAGAGCAAGGCCATGTGTGATATTATATAATTCTAAGAGAAGCTTCCTGTGATCAATTGTGTCATAAGTCGCAGATAAATCCATAAAAGCAGCTCCCATGATTAGACCTAAATGAAAACCATCCTCTGTGTGCTGGATGTGTTTAACTATCTGGTCTGTGAGGAAACCAGCTTATTGAGGAATAAGAGTTTGTTAAATGACAGGAAACATTCTACTTAATAGAACTCTCTCATAGAGTTTGAAAGGATAGCAAAAGAGGGAAATTGGACTAAAATTCTTTGGGTCGTTCAGTTCTTTTCTGGGTTTCAGAAGTCCAATAACCTGGGCTTTCCGCCAAATCTCCAGAATACAATTTGAGGCCACACATTCATTAAAAAGTAATGACAACCATTTGCTTGGAAAAATCTCCAAAATGTTTATTTGTTCAACATGAATATCATTTAATCCCGTGGCTTTACCATTCTTCATATCATGAATTCCAGTTCTTCTCTATCAAAGAGTGAGGTCAATACACTGGCCTCCTCTTCCACTCCCCTTAGGAGCCTGTCAGGTCAAACCGACAAGTCAAGCTGCTAAAGGCTATAGCTGAAAATTTGTAGTTTTTATTTTCCCAACATTTCCCATTATCAATATCATAGATTTTCTGACTTAGAAAGCTCAGACATACTAACATTATTTCTTTAAATTAATTCATTGCAACTGCAGCATTCAAATGCATATTGCTGTTTTTGAAATCAATCAGCTTCAACTTTCAAAAGGATCTTTAAAATATTTTTAAGGAAAAAAAACACCCTTGGATCTTAAAATGCTGCCAAATCCTAAACACCATATAATCTTCTATATTAGCTTTAGTGTGAAGGAAAATAGCAATTCATAAGAGATACTTAAGATTTCCTTTCATAGCAAGAAGTGGCTCTTCACTTCAATTTACAACTCACCATCCCTTCTTTTCAAGTGATCTGACAGCCTTTCAAGAGAAACAGCCTTAGCCACAGGTTAAGTTTGACAACACAACATAAAAACAGAGAGTAGCATCACTGGCCATCCGGTGTGGCCCATCATGAAGATCATGACCATGATATTCCACTTAAAGACTTTTTGTTGTTAAAAAATGGGCTGTGTATTAAATTACTGTTGTTGACTCCTCCCTTATAGAGTCTTTAATTTTTATGAGTGCACCTGCCAGTATTGAGATAATAAGCATGTAGCAATGCATGTCAGCAATTTTGAAAACTTCCCACACAAAAGAGAACTTGCCATATGGCAAAGCCTAAGATGTAGGGAGGACAAAGAACTTAGAATAGAGCTGGAAAGGGAGTGATCAGCGTGGCTGGTAACTTCAAGAGAAAAGCCAGGCTCCAGCCAATATTTATAGGACAAAAATAGATGCTTCATGGACATGCTGGGAAGGCATAAATTAACTTTAAAATATGGGGATATAATCAGAACAACTTTTCCTTCAGAAGAAACCTGAAAAGCCTGAAGACTTATTCAGGAAACTGACTTAAATAAGGGCCCAAGACGGAAAGAGATATTACACTGTGGGTGTTTTTATTTGCATTGGCAGGGCATAGAAGAACAACAACAACAATTCAGTGTGCGATTATTGAGCATTTATTGTTGATTTTATTGCAATTTTTAATTTGCAACTATTGTAATAGACATATTTTAATCAGTTGCAAGTGAATTTGGGGAGATATAGTTTGATGTAGCGATTAAGGCAGCAGGCTGGACACTGGGAGAATGAGTTCTAGTCCATTTTAGGCACTTGGGTCTGTCATACACTCTCAGCTCTTGGAAGGAGACAAAGGCAAACCACTTCTGACATCTTGCCAAGAAAACTGCAGGGACTTGTCCAGGCAGTTGCCAGGAGTCAACACTGAACTTGAAGGCACACAAAATAAATCGGGAGATTCATTTAATCAAAAGTGGAGTATATACGTTTATAAAAGGGTCAAATGAAAGTAGCTGAATATTTGGACCCAATATATATTACTGTATAAGTAAAAATGAAAAAAAATATGCAGAAAAACCTTTTCAGTTGTTCTTCTATAGCAACACCAATTTACATCAATCGTTGGCTTTATAGTGTACAGAGGCTATCCCATGCCTTCAAAGTTCTTGTGGAATGCTAAATAATCCATTTCTTTACTATTGTTTTATATGATTGCTGCAATTTTTTTAGTCCTCACAATAAACACGGAAAGCCGAGAATGTGAAAGACTGGTGCCGAAGAATATTATGAAGATAAGAGAACTGAGAATAAATAGAAATTCAATTCCCAATGAAAAAGTAGTAATAACATCAGGCACGAGTGGATTGTACTAAGACATCTCCATTATATTAAATTTGTATTTCAAATCTATTTAATACAAATGTATTTGTATTTTAACTTTTTTAATGAAACACTAAACCTCATTTATAAAAAAGCATGTAAATTTTGTAAATGAAGAGCAACGACACAAGAGCTGCTCAGATTTGAGCAAAGCTGGTATGGTGTACCGAGTAGTGTTACCATTCAAGATGCTATCAGCTTTTCAAATGCCTTCAGAAAGAAGGCAAGTTTTCAGTCCCTGGAAGGTGGTGCAAGTGTTTTACATAAACAAAATCTGTACTTAAAATAGCCCTTTTGCCACCTTGGTGCAGATACCAATCAGTTAAATTTAAAAGTGCAGAAGGCAGAAGCAGCATGGGAATCACAACAACATTGGCTCAAATCCAGGAACATTTTATTTCTCTGGAATGGAATCAACTCATCCACGCTGAACACAAACTGCAGGTGGTAATTGTACATTCTCTCTCTTTAAAAAAGAAAAGCAAGTGTTTAATTCCATAAATTCCTGTCATGGGAAACCATTTTTAAAAAAAATTGTATAACAAGCCTATTTTTTTTTCTTTTTCAACAAAGCATCAATGTTAAAATGGGTTCGCCAGCTTCTACCACATTGTCGTCTGCGTATACCATGCAAAATGCTACATCTGCTTAACACATTTTACACATTAGCATTACAAAGATTCAAAGGTTCGTTGGTTGATTGATATTTTTAAGACAAGGACTGTGACGCATTTCATTCCTCCCCACCCTGGGGAACCTATAAAAATAATTTAGTTCAAATGGACTAAATGCGGGATTGCGTTCTAGCTTTGTACTTCAGTCAATTCCATAAGCAAGCCATTGGCCGCAAAGACCAGCTTGTGTGGTTCTTATAGTCATAAGGTCATAGGGTTAGAAAGTACCTCGGGATTTGTAAGAAGCCCAGCCTCCAAGCAGCAATAATGAGTCTCTAGGCTTCAAGGATCCTCCATACTCAACGCTCATCCAGTCTCCTCTTACAGACCTCTTTAAAGGAGAATATTTTGTTTCTGACATCAGATGGTTCCTCTCTGTTATTAGTTCCATTTAAATCAGCAGATCTGCAGCAACTAAGAATTAGTTCTGGCTGAGCTCTAAGAGTAACCTACAGCTGAAGAACATCGTTTCAGTCTGGGCCAATTTCGCATGGATTTAGTCCTTTGTCCTTGGCTTCTTTGTACATCCTTTGGAAGTCTTTGAAACGTGGGGCGCAGCCTAACCTGACCTCCCCAAAGTGCATACTGCCTGTGAAGAGGAAGTCTCCCTCTCCTGGTTTTACCCCACATTGAAGCAGAGTCTTGATCTGTCCTTGCCACCGACCGCTCTCCTCAGCAGAGTTGAAGATCCTTGTTTTCTGCCTGTAGATTCTATTGATGTTTATACTGATAATGGAATCTTGCTGATCCTCCTCGTTGATTACACTTTGGATGGTACCTCTGACAACTAGGAAGAAACACAGGCAGAAAAGAAAAGCCCAGTTAGATACAGAGCTACTCTGAGATCCACTTTTATATGAGCATTTATCATTGTCTTTAATATACATATATGGGATTTTGGTTAACAAAATATTTATTCAGTGGCATCCTGGAAGAAAAGGAATGACAGGACCAGATGTTAAGATCCCTCCCCAAATGAGGCAAATTCTGTTGTGTTCTTAAATTCTTACACCATTTGTGAGTTTAATTATACATTGCTGCATTGAAACCTTAAGTTCTGTATCTGAGTTTATGCACATATAGTAATATTTTTGAAAGGGTTTTGTTCCATTTCAGGTACTTAAAACACATCCAGGAAAAGCAATGTTATAGTTTTATATGAGCTCATTTCCAGCTTCACCTCATTGTTTGTTATTAGTGATTCCCCAAACTACAATTTTTAAAAATTAAAATTAAAAACAAATATGAAACATGGTTGGATTAAGAATGGTCTGTTTTAAATCCATTTTTCAAAACTAAACAAAAACTAATAATGTTGCCAAAAACATTGCATTCTGAATATATTAATTCCTAACTCTCATAATCCCCAGCCTGGGGAAGATCTATCTTACAGTATTGCACCAAACTAGAGTTTAACTAGCTTCATACATAAATATCATTAGATATTTCAGAGAAAGTTAAAAAGAAAACAATTAGTGTTTATTTGTAACCTGATGTCCAGATCACAATTTCTGAAATGTAATATTCCTAAAGCAGCATTCCTCGATGTATTTAACTCTAGTTCTCCTTGGTTAACGTTCCTCCAAATCATCCAGATTGAGGACAAATGTGAGACATCAGTTTGGGAAGCAAGGGGCACAATGGCTCAGCAGTTAAAGACACTGAGTTTGTCAGCTGGAAGGCTGACAGCCCAGGTTCCAGACTTGAGCACTGTGTGACAGCATGAGTTCCTGTTACTTGCCCCAGCTCCTGCCCATCTAGCAATTCAAAAGCATAGAAATGTGAGTAGGTAAACAGATATCACTTTGAGGGGAAGGTAAGAGCGTTCCATGTGCCTCGGCATATATAATCATGCTGGCCACATGACCACAGAGGTATCTTTGGACAACACTGGCTCCCTTGGCTAAGAACAGAGAGGAGCATCACCCTCTAGAGTCGGAAGCAACTGGACAGGGAAACTTTTACTTTTACCAGTTTGGGAAATGCCCGGTATGGCTTTCCAATAAGACTTAATATTGATGTATGGGATGCATCAATGTAAGTCAAATTATCGCCTCAGTGCAAAAACCAGAAAAATATTGGGAAAATCATCTCTTTTAGGAATTGCTAATCATTAAATCCTCAGAAAAGAAATGTATCATAAACTATCCTCCTCCAATTTTTTGCCAACCAGATATGTTGGACTACAATTCTGTCAAAAGCTGGAAATTCTGGAAAGTGTTAGTCCAACAGATTTGAAGGGCTCACAATTGAGAAAGGCTATGATCCATGTTTAATCTACTAAAGCCAACTGCAATAATCTTGGGGTTTAGAGCCACGACAGTTCTTGATTTCAGCTGTGTCTAAAGCAACAGTCAATCTATCCACTACAAAATATCACAAAATAGGAAAACAAGTATTCGCTTCATTAATGTTCAATCTATCCACTGCAAAAGTTGACAAAATAGGGAAACAAATATTTTCTTCATTTGCATAAAGTTAAGAGTTCATCTATAAAGCTAGCATGAAGAAAGGAGCAATGTTTAGCTTTTGGGAAGTTCAGAATACAGTTGCAAATAACCATGTGTCATGGAACCTAAAAAAACAAAACAAAACACCTGGAGGGGTCAAAACACCTGGAGAAGACCAGTTTGCCTATTAGTTAAACAGGATAAGCCTCACCATTAAAATAAATAAATGCCTACACCAAACTCACCCTAGAAATTTAAATCACATTCTATTAATGGCCAGTAACATTTACATTGAATTCTTTGGCATTTTGCCCTGAAGAAATACACACAGCAAGCCACCACCTGTCTAGGCAACATTTTCCATCAAGACGGAGCAAGAGCAATCCCACCACAATGTCTGGGTGTTGCATCCTCCTCCTTGTTCAGAATATACCCCTATTATATCCACAATACTAATAGACTGTATTTATATCTGTAGCACATGTCCAAGACCAGACATGCCCAGCTGTTTCATTACAACATTTACTTTGGATTCCAAGCGTGGGAAAATTGCTTTAATGCTATTTCACTACCATAAAGAGGAAAACAGTTACCCCACTAGTCATACTAAGGAAAACCACTTGTCTCTTTGGGAGGGGGAGACATAACAGAAAAGGGGATACCTTTTGCTGGCACAGATCACTGTGTTTATGTCTATTTGAGATCTAAGCATTTCAGGCAGGCAATCTTTGCAAGCAAAATGTAGTTGGAGAAAAATAATACATAATTCTGTTGGATCTCTGCTAAGCATACTGATAAAGTCTAACTGTATTGTAGCACTTTCTTTCCAGAGATTCTACAGATTTCTGTTAGATATCTATGCATCAAATGATTTTTTTAATGACTCAGAGAAGATTATCTGAATTGAATCTGCTTTGCTTTCAGGTTTTATAAAACCCTTTCCTCAAATTATATTTGGACCAGTGTAAAAGAGAATATTTTCTATTCCATAAAAAGTTTCATTCACCAATATTTTATTTCCTTCTGTACATTTTGAGAAAATCCTTCCTTTCTTATAGGTCAGGAGCCCAATAAAATAAAAGACCCTGTTGTAGTTATTTCCTGCAGAATTAAGTATAAACTTCATCTTTAAAAGCAACAACTTCCACAGAAACAGAGTTTTAGTTTTTTATCAAGGGTCTATTTAGAAACATCAAGAGGATAATTCCTATTACTCGCTCCTAAAAACCTTTGAACTTCCACCACTATTACCACAGCCTGTCTCTTTCTTTGTCCATGGTAGAAAAGAACTAGCCAAACACAATGATTTAATTGAAGCTCTTCAGAGCTAAAACCCCATATAAAGGCTTTTCCTCCCTTGTCCCCTTTGTACTTCTTGGATACACTTTGTTTACTCCAAAATGAGCAGAAAAGGGCTCCCTTGTTGGTTACAATCTGGGGCTTTCAGTTTGTTCACTGTTTGGTGATGTTTCTGTAGGCCAAATCCAGCAGATTATCACAAGGGAAGAATGGGATTTTACAGAGCAATGGTGAACTCAGCAGTCATCCAGAAATCAAGGAAACTTACCAAAGTCATTGGAGCAGACAGCCAAGAGGACTTCCGTGTCACTGCAAGGTTGGCAGGGAGCTGAGAATGAAACAAAGAAGGGCATTTTAGTATCTCAAGAAGGTAAATGTTCTACCAGGAACTTCTTAAAGATCAACCTTAATGCACCATGCAATTCAGTCAGCAAATGTGTAGTCTACGTCTTCAGAGCAATATTTTCTGTGAAAATGTCCATATTCTGGGCATTATATTTAATGTCATATCCAGAATATGACCTTTTCTCTTACAATAATCCTTTGATATCTATCTATATTCTACATTGAATTGTATCCCCTGGCAGAATAGTTCCCTTCAGTTGGCAGATGCTAACTTGTCAGGATAAACTTTTAAAACACAATTCCTCAAGATTCAGCAAGCAAACATCCCCGCATGCATTCGGAATTCAAGATCTTTGATTCTAGGAATTTATTCCAAGTGTCAGAACTTGCAATAGGAAAACTTATTCCTAATTATCCCAACAAAACTGGCTTGCCCATTTAAAATAAGAACATAAATAAAGATGCAGCTGGTAGCCATGCCTTAAACATAAGATGTAGTTGAGCCTAGACTACAGAGAGGAAGGTTTTTTTTTTAAAAAAAAAGAGAAAATCATCTAGGAAAGAGACAGCAGCTGTTTTGTACCCTTACACAGTAGCCTTTATTCATGAGCAGTTGCACCACAAGGCTGTGGGACAAAGCCAGAGGCAGCCTACACCTGCATCCCTGGTTTGTGAAGCTAGGCAGAGGTCTGAAGGTCACACTATACATTAAAGATACCATGTGTAGCTTCATGTTTTTCCCTTGGACTTTGTCTTAAGCTACAAAGTAAAGGCTGTAGACCTGATACAGTTCAGTACCACAGCATATTGGGACAGGGGGGTTAACCTCTCTTGCTTGGGCCACAGTTCCTCTGTGAAAGCTGCCTCTTCCCTCAGCATAGTAATTAGTGACTGAAACTAAAGAACCCATTCATGCTTACTTTCTGGCTTTAAAAAGGCCAGTCAGCATACATTTTATGCATTTCAAGCCTCTGAATCCTCTTAACTGTTCCCTTGTTGTACTGCTTAAAGACTGCTGGCCTAGAAACCAGGAGACTGTGAGTTCTAGTCCTGTTTTAGGCATGGAAGCTGGCTGGGTGACTTTGAGTTAGTCTTTCTTTCTTAGGCCAGCTTTGAGTTATTCTGTCTTTCTTAAGTCAACTTACATCACAGGTTTGTTATTGTGGGAAAAATAGGAGGAGGAAGGAATCTGAGGTATGTTTGCTGCCTTGACTTATTTATATATTAAAATAAAATAAAAGGGGTGATATTTATTATTTGTTTGTTTATTGTTTATTTATTTAGCACATGGCATATGATGGCATAAGAGTAAGTAAATAAACTCTGAGTTGTTACTGATTTCTCCTCATTTTTCTTCTTTGGGAAATCAACTTTGGCTCTCAATTTATCCTACTCTATTAAATGATCTTGTGGTCACTTCCTCCATTTTCTTTCATGAGATTTGGAATGGGGGTAAAAATACAGTATATTTTGTCTATCCGTTCTGTCTATCCCACTTATAATGTGACAGTCAGACATGTATAACCAGACCCATATGTGTAGAGTTCAAACTAGCTACTTGATTGTTCTCTGCCTATAATACAGGAATGTTTCCAGACTGGCAGTTTTCATATGGGAAAGATAGATAAGGCTCTAAGGTACGGGTATCAAACTTGCTGCATCACGTTGCCATCACGTGCCTTTTGCAACATTTTCCCCATTCATGGAGCTGGAATGGGTGTGGTCTGCACATGACACATCCAGACCGCAGGTTGCCAGTTTGACACCCCTGCTCTAAGGCATGCAAAAGGAGGTGGGGTGAACCTGGTTCTATCAGTCCTTTCAAAAGGAGTTCTTTGCTATTAATAACTACAGAGTTTATCACTTGTAGAGATCTGAATATTTGTGAACTTCAACTCCCAGAATTTGGGATGGCTGTGGAATTCTGCAAGTTGAAGTCCACTCACCTTAAAAGTTGCTAGGGTGGATAAACACTGAGTTACAGAAATATTGGAAATGGTCAAATAGTTTACAGGTCTATAATGAAACAACAGCTGTAGAGTGAGATTTTTTTTATCAAAGGCTAGAAACCACAGAAATACATACACTGGGAAGATCGTCCTGGTTTTATCACAAAGACATTTATTTGCTTAGCTCCTAAATTTATCCACATTATATTTTATGGTATTCAACATTCACCATTATGGGAATATTATATCATATAGTCTGTATTACCAGGTTACGTGAGTTGGATTCATAAAGATTGGTAAACATGTCCTTCATCAGAAAGGTTGTAACTATCTCTGGTGGAATTCAAAGCCAAAACCTCAAATGAAGGATCATGTAAGGACTTGTATCATGTAGAAGACAGTTGGTCTGGTGGGGCCTATTAAAATGTTTAATGGGAATCAGAGTTGAGAATTGGCTCATAAATTTATCAGATGGGTTGCCTAACACTGATTCTCAAATGTTAGAAATAAAGACGAGCTTGAACTCTTTATTTCAGAAAAACAAATGTGATTTAATAGACATGGTAAAGAACTGATGAAGTAACTGGAATACAGCAAAGAAAGATATATTTTATTCAAAAGGAGAAGTTTCAAGGATGTTCAGAATATTTTATATTCAGAATGTATGGAATCTGAATCACATTGTGTCAACTGTTCCAGATTCTACAGGTAGTCTCTGAATTAGGACCATTTGTTTAGCAACTGTTTGAAATTACAAAGCACTGAAAAAAAGGGACTTATGACCAGTCCTCACATTTATGATCAGTGTAGCATCTCCATGATCATGTGATCATGGTGGTATCTCAGGATCATGTGATTTCCATCTGGCATATTTCCACCTGGCTTCTGACAAGTAAAGTCAATGGGGGAGCCAGCAGGAAGATTACAAGTTATGGTCCCCTAATGTTTGTTTGTTTGTTTGTTTGTTTGTTTGTTTGTTTATTTGTCTTGTATGCCGCCCACTCCCGGAGGACTCTAAACAAGCAGACAATTTATCAATGAATGTTCTATCCCAATTGCGGTGGTAATTGAGGACCACCTGTAAATAATCCTGTTTCAAGATCAAAAAAACCTTTCAACTTTGAAAAAAACCTGGCTTAATAACTGTTGCAAGCTTGTTTGGAAAATTTCAGACTCAAAATAACGGAACATTTCTAAACATCAGTAATAGTTAAGAAAGAGAAGTTGCACTGTGTATTAAAAGTATCATATCTGCTAAGGAATTCAAATGAATTAACATACTGCAGAAGATATCTGGGCTTAAATAAGCAGAGGGATGAATGTGGGCAATGCTATTAGCCTCTACTATGGCTTATCCAACCAAAGAGATATGGATAATGCTTTCCAGAAGCAAAGTGCAATTCTTTCAAAGAGGCATGATAGGGATTTAAATTACCATGACATCATTTGGGAGACAAATTTTGCCAAGTGTCCTGGGTATCTGATTGTCTTTTCTTTCAGAGGGTCACGGAAGGCACAGGAGGATTGTTATCTTTGATTCAGTAACCAATAGTTATGGTACAGACAATGAAATAGTCAGAGCAGTTGGCTAAACCTAATCTTGCTTGGAAGCCAAACAGATTCAGACCTCGTTAATGTTTGGATCGAAGTCTACCAGGAAATGTTAGGGCTACACATTGGACTGGTGTTATTGCCAAGAGGAGAAAAAAAACTATTCATGGCCATAAAATTACCATATTTCACCTAGTCAAAGAGATGGAAGTAGCAAGAAACACAATGGAAAATGGCTATGTGATGTTAGAATTCCTGTTTTCAATTAAAATTAAATTGGAATGTAATCAGATATTACCTTGGACTCATGAGTGGAGGAACAACCATCAATCCTGAATTCTTAATTTGTATTTCTATACCAAGCATGGAATTAATTTGGTGGCTTAAACAGCATCTTTCAAGTGTGGACAGGATTTTCCCCTATACAGATTTTGATGAACTTGGGTAATGATTCCCATGATAAAAAACTAGTTGAAAACTTACGTGTAGAACATGTTAGTTATTGTAGCAATAATTGTTATGGAAGACAAATATATGATAGGATTATGTGAAAATTAGGATATAAATGTGCATAAACATTCACACAATGAAACCATGGATGGCTAACTTATTTTTTTTTTCATATAAGAAAACCAATTCTAAAGTATGTTAGAGGAGAAATAGCTGACACATACATCTCACGACAGGAAGATCAAGGGTAAACTCAAGACCAGATCTGTTACAACGTTAAGAACTGTGTAGCCTGGAAATAGTAGAGACAACCCACACTAATCTAATCAAGGAAGGAATGTAGCTGCTTTTTATACTCAGCCAGCTACTTCTACAGAGAAGGTGGTGCAGATGTTTCTATAATGCCCTATTCAGTTATGGAATTCCTTTTCACTCAGAACTCTGCCCTCTCTAGCAGCAGGCTAATTAAATCTACCCATTGGAGACCCAAAAATGGAATGGGTGGAGAACTACAACTTCCTTTGTTATCCCAGCAGGGCATTTACATTCATCATAAAAATGAGAAGTCATCAATTTAACTAAGCATCTATGCTCAGTGTCACCAGCGAACATGACAAGATGGCACTTAGGGAAAAGAAAACTGGAAGATTCTTGCTTTAATGAATTTAAATCTTCGTGTTACATTCAGATTTATGTAGTAATTATTCAAAACATGAATAATTATATCTATATTTAGATGTATTTTTAAACTGTAGAAACTTTCAAATAGAGTACAGCAATAACAGTTCGTGTGATGTCATTTTAACAGGCATGTTGCTAGCTAAAAGTCCTTTCTATTTTAAGGAGAGGGTCATTCATACAATTGGAAGAGAAATTCAACTTATTATCTAAGTGTACCTTGAAAATAGGTGGCTTTATTCAGTACCAATGCTGAATAAAAAATAACAGTGGAGCTAAAATCATTTACTACTTTTTATGAAAACTTGAGTCTGCAAGTGCTGTTGCATGAGAAAGTAGAAGAAATACTGTGTTT